CACGCGCTGCACCACGTTCTGCGGGAGAGGGCGGCGTGAGCGGAGCATGTGGGAGCAGAGGGGGCTGCGCCCGCCTCCAGCCCCTTCCCCTGTCTGGGTCCCGCCAGGGCAGGCAGGGCCGGGGAAGGGACACCGGGCGACGGACGGGCCGGCCACGGCGGCGCGTGCACGTGCGGCTGTGGCGGGCCCTGCGCTCCCAGGCTCAGTCTCAGGAGCACGGAGAGAGCCTACAAGGCTGCTTCAGGTTTGTCCGTCTGCGGGAGGGGGACGCGAACCCTTAAAAGCAGTCTTAGGGGCCAGCAGGTGGCTGGTAGTTAAGGCATTGGGATCTCACATGGCTAACTGCAGTTCAAGCCCCAGACCGGCAGCTTGAAAAATCATGCTGGGCACGTGGCATGAGTGCCCCAAATCCCGAGAGAACACCCGAGATGGGATGCCGCCTGGCCATCCACCTGGGAGGTGACTTCTTATTTTCCCTCTGTCTGTCTCTCCAATGGGCACACAAGCCCTATGGCAAAAACCTTTAAAAATCATAATAAAATAGGAAACCAGCAAATGGCATGGTGGTTAGGGCGCTGGACTCCCACATGGTTGACCATGGTTCAAATCCCGGACCTGGAGGCTTGTTCTCACTCCCCCCCCTCTCTGGTCAAATTTTAAAAAAAATAAATGAATAAATAAAATTAAATAATTCTTAAAAAGTAAAATGAGGGACCAACAATTGGCGTACAGGCAATGTCGCTGGATTCCCACATAGTCGACCAGGGTTCGAGTCCCGGACTTGGTGGCTTAAACTCACACCAGGCGTGTGTATGTGCGTGCTCAAGATCCCAAGAGGAGGGAACCAGCAGTTAGCATAATGGGTATGTCACTGGACTCCCACATAGTCGACCGCAGTTCAAGTCCTGGACCCGGTGGCTTAAACTCACGCCAGGCACATGTGCGTGCATGCCCAAGATCCTGAGAGGAGGATGGAGGAAAAGGGATTGCAGCGTGGCCATCCCCCCGGGGGGTGATTTCTCGCTCTCTGTCTCTCTGTCTCTCTCTGTCTATCTGGCGAGCGCACGTGCCCTACAGTAAAAAAACAAAAAAACTTCTCCAAGACCCCAAGAGGAGAATGGAGGAGAAGGGATTGCAGCATGACCATCCCCCCTGATTTCTCACTTTCTGTCTGTTTTTGTCTTTCTAGCAAGCGCACATGCCCTATAGCAAAAACCTCTCAAAAAAAAAAAGGAAATTAAAAAATAATAAAATAAAAAGCAGTCTTGGGGCTCACAGGTGGCATGGGTTAAGGGCACTGGACTCCCACATGGCTGGCCACGGTTCGAGTCCCAGACCTGGTGGCTTGCTTTCTTGCTTTCCCCCTGTGTGTGTGTGTGAGAGTCTGGTCTAATTAAATCAGTAAAGTTAAATAAAATAATTCTGCAAAAGAAAAGCATCTTTGGTGACGGTGACATCAGGGCTGTGTGGCCTTGGGCACGTGACAGCTGCTCTCTGCTTCCGTTTCCCATCTGGAAAGCGCGTTCGCAGGGGCAGATGGGTACCTGAGGAACACTACGTGGGAAGGCACAGACCGGCGGCCGACCACACCGTGTGCCCAGCGTGCCGCTGTTACTATTATTACCGTCGATGTTGTTGAGGGTGCTGTGAGGTCGGAGGGACACAGGCAGATACAGCCAGAGACCATGGATGGGAGTGTGAGAGCCTTGGGCAGGGCCTGGGAGCCTGCCGGGGGTCCTCGGGCAGCTGGTCCCTCCCAGGGCCTCCCCACGCCCCTCTGGGAAATGGGCGGATGGCCCAGCCCCTCCCAGGTCCCGTCTGTTCTCAGAGCTGTCCCCTGCTCTATGGCGTGGGAAGCCCCTTACCTGTTGGTCCTGCTCGGACAAACTGGGTCCGGGGACTTCAGCGGGCTGGGCCTCTGACATGCCTGCGGAGAATGGGGTCGCCCTGGGAGCCGGACAGTGACAGGGGCCCCTGCACGCCAGCCCTCCCACGCCCGCCCAGGCCTGGGTCGCGTCGGGCTGGGCTCTGTGAGTTGGGCAAATCTGGTCCCCTCTGGGGGCCTCAGTTTCCTCTGTGCAGTGGCATGGGGGGGGGGGGGGCAGCTCGCAGTCAGTGCACGCGACGACGCCTTCCGCACGGGGAGCCAGGAAGACCTGCGGAGAATCCCGGTTACCTGCTGTGTGACTTCGCACAAGCAGCGGCACCTCTCTGGACCGGCTCCTCTTCTGTGAGATGGGGCAGCTCCCGCTGCTCCAGAGCTGCGCAGACAGCCCCCTGCAGGGTGGGGGTGGTGGCCGCGGGGTCCAGATCAGTTCCCGGTCCGTTTGACAGGCGGGGAAACTGAGGCACGCGGCAGGTTCGGCCTGGCCCAAGGTCACTCAGCTAAGCAGGGTCAGAGCCGGGAGCTCGACCTCGGGCCTCAGACTCGCCGCCTGCGATTCCTCCCCCTGTCGCCACCCCGCGCCCTTGCAGGCCTGGGCCCTGCCCAACTAGGTCCTGAGCTTCTGCCAACCGGGCCAAGGGTCTCCGCCACCTGCTGCAGCCTGTCATGCCCTTCTGCGCCGCCGACCTTCGTCCAGTGCCCGGAGCCCGTGTCCCCCGAGCTCGGGCGCTCCTGGACGCCGCCCGGGCAGCGCGCACCTGGGCGCGCGCACCCGCACACCCACCTGCTCCGCGGCCCGCACGCTCAGATTCGAGTCTCCGCACCGCGCCCGCGCCACGCGCCTTATAGCCGCTCGGGGGCGTGGCCTCCAGGGACTGACCAATGGGGAGAGGGCGTTTAGAGGTGTGTCCAGAGGGCGGCGCCCCCGGGTCCAATCTCCCGGTTCCCAGAGGGCTCTGAACCCTTCGCGGTTGCCATAGCAATCGGGGACGCTGGAGGATGCTGGACTACGTTCGGCCACCTGTCACCCTCGTGTCGTTGCCGTGGACACGGCGGAGGGATCGCTCAATCTCCACCGCCTAGCCGAGTGCCCTTGGCAAAGTCCCCATGACTCATTTGACCGCTGGCAGTTAGCTAAACCAGGCGCCCAGCCGGCCCCTTCCCTGGGACCCCCACTTTACAGATGAGGAAACTGAGGCTTGGAGAGCGTAGCCCACCGCCCGTGAGGAATCCCACTCACACCCGTCCCTGCTGGGCTCCAGACCCCTTTCGTGTCATCGCCGCGCCTGGGGTGACCACAATCGTGGCATGACTCTCCCTCCAGGGGGCTGAAGAAACTGGGCGACACCCCGGGGCCCCCCAAATCTGACCCCAGTGTCGAGTGGTGAGAACACCGTCCCCGGGCCCGTGCGCGCTCGGGCGCCCCCTTGTGGTACCGCGCGCGAGCGGGACAGTCTGGCTTGGGTTAGACCGGGGACAGGGCGCCAGGGCTGGCAGGAGGCGGTAACACGACACCAGGCAGGCAATGCCGAGGTCTCGCAGCTAAGTTCTGGCATGTCCTGGGCCGGGAGAGGACGAGGAGAAGCCACCGGTGCCGTCCCTGGAGGGCCCGTGCCGGCAGGGGACCCTGGGTTCCATCGCGCCTCTCCTTCCCTGCTGGCCCTCGGGAGACAGCAGGTACACAGTGAACCCCACTTCACCCAGTTTCGGTTGCTGGAGTTATTTATTAACCGGCTCGGGTCTGCCCCAAGCTGAAGGGTGCTGAATCCGAATCCCAGAGAACTCAGGCTCAGACCGGGCTCTAGCGGAGCCCCCCCAGGGAGAAGAAACCGGATAAGGGCAGGGGGGTGGCTGGGGGAGCTTGGACACCAAAAGATCTGGAAAATGGGGAACGGAATTCCAGGGACAGGGAACGGCTTGAGTAAAGGCAAGGAGCCTGGCGCTGGGAGGGTTCGGGGAGCGCGGGCGGGCCACCGGGGCCACAGTGGAGCCAGCCTTGCGTCACCTCGGGGAGGTGGCGTCTGCCGGGCCCGCCCAGGCCTCACCGAGCCCGGGCCGCTGCCAAGAGCGTCCGGCCCCTGGCGGCCTCGGGCCCAGCGCAGCGCGTGTCATTCGGGAAGAACATCTTGTCCTCGTTAGTCAGGAGCCAGCGATAGAGGTCGCCCAGGTTCTCATCACAGAGCCAGGGGTTCCCGGAGAGGTCGAAGCCGTCCCTCATGTCCCAGGTGGGCTTCCCGAGGGAGGCCCAGAGCCCCTCGGGCACGCTGCTCAGCGAGTTATTGCTGAGGTCCAGCATGTCCAGCTGCCGCAGGCCTCGGAAGCCGCCCCTCATGCCCCAGGTGGGCTTCCCGAGGGAGGCCCAGAGCCCCTCGGGCACGCTGCTCAGCGAGTTATTGCTGAGGTCCAGCATGTCCAGCTGCCGCAGGCCTCGGAAGGCACCGGCTGCCA